GCAAAGGGAAAGTTCTCTTGGGGTTTGTAAGGTCCCTCTCCCTCTGGACTGACCGACAGAAGCCTTGAGGTGCTCTGTGCCCCCCGATACCATTCCTCCGGGCACTGCTCCATTGCTACCAATCCTCTCTCCTTCCAGGGGTCCTCGCTGGCCACGACAACCGGGTCAGCTGCCTGGGCGTGACGGACGACGGCATGGCTGTAGCCACCGGTTCCTGGGACAGCTTCCTGAAAGTCTGGAACTGAACCAGCCTTCAGCTGGATGGGGGCTGGGGGGAGAAGGGCAGGCGGCCCTTGGCGGCCCCCCACTTGCCCCCTCTGCTGTGGCCTTCAGCCTCTGCCCCTCAGCTGGCTGCCCTCCCGGGGTCCGTTCCCCCCCATTTCTTTTTCTGCTCCACTTCAACATTATTCTAAGCCAGATTTCCACACGCAACATGGAGGGGGGGGGGAGGATGCCAGCGAAGCTGCCGAGGAGCAGCAGGGGGTGCCAGCCTCGTAAATAAAAGGTGTTGAGGGGTTACAACGCAGCACTGTGTGATTCCATCGAGGGAAACTGCAGGGCTGGGGAGGGGAGCGAGAAGTTTCTGGGTGCCCCCCCCCCAGCACTACCTAAAGCAGGGGTCTCCAAACTTGGCCACCTTTAAGACTGGTGGACGTCAACTCCCAGAATTCCCTGGGACTAATGCATTCCTGTGAATAGGTATACCATTATGGCTCATTTACTCTCTTGTACTGGTAATCCCTTCCTCTGCAATCTCAGCACTCTAGGCAGTAGGAGAAAAACAGGCATGGCTAGCTGAGGAATTCTGGGAGTTGAAGTCCACAAGTCATAAAAGAGCCAAGGTTGCCTACTCCTGGGTATACCCATTATGGCCTGTTTACTCTCTTGTACTGGTAATCCCTTCCTCTGCAATCTCTACGCTCTAGGCGGTAGGAGAAAAACAGGCATGGCTAGCTGAGGAATTCCGGGAGTTGAAATCCATAAGTCTTAAAGGGGCCAAGTTTGGAGACCCTACCCTAGAGCAATGGGGTGGGGTGGTTGGGTGGCGTTTGGATCCTGGCCTCCTGGGCAGATGCGGGTCCAGAACACCAGCACGGGCCAGGCTGTTGGGTTCTTCGGGGGGAAGAGGGGTGTCCTGCAGAGATTTCCTCAGAGCCCACCCTTATTTGGTTCTGCTCTAACCTGCAAATGGGAGTACCTCAATCCAGCTGTTCAGCCTGTCTAGTTTGCGCCAGGAAGGCGATTGGGTCCAACATTCCTGAGGTGGGGGCTCAGCTCAGAAACTCCTCCCCTTTTTTTCTTTTCTTAGCTGGCCATCCCTGGTGGCTAAAGGGCAGTACTGCAGTCTATGTCGGCTGACTGCCAGATGCCAGCAGCTCGATCCTGACTGGCTCAAGGTTGATTCCGCCCCTTCTGCCCATAAAATGAGGACCCGGGTCATTAGGCTCCATATGCTGACTCCGTAAACCATTTAGAGGGGGCCGTGAAGCCGTATGATGAGTCTAAAGTGTTGCTATTTGCGCCTGATTTTCCCTCCCGCTCAATTGGCCAGAAGAGTCAGGCCTAAGGGTTAGCACCAATCTTGGGGGGGGGGGGTGATTTTGATGCTGCAGCAGCTGACCCCGCTCCTCAAAGACTGGCCACAAGGAGGCGCTCTGTGCTTCTTCAGCTCTTGAGCTGCTCTTGGCCTGGCCGTCAGTAAAAAGCTGTCCAACAGGTGCAGCTAGTCCTCAACTTACAACCAGGATTGAGCCCAATGTTCATGTTAAGTGAAAAATTGAGTTTTGCCCCATTTTATGACCTTCCTTGCCACAGTTAAGTGAATCGCGGCAGTTGTTAAGTTAGTAATATGGTCATTAAGCAAATCCCTTCAACTTTCCCGGTCAGACGGTCGCCAAAGGGGATCACGTGGTCCCTCTGGAACACTGCGACTGTCGTAAGTACGAGTCTGTTGCCAAGCGTCCCAGTTTTGATTGCCTGATCGCAGGGATGCCGCAACAGTCGCAAGTGTGTAAAATGGTGGTCAATCATCTTTTTCAGTGCTGTCGTAACATCAAACGGTCAGTAAACAGTTTTGAGTCAAGGGTCACCTTTATCTTGGGGGGGGGAGGAAGGAGGGGAGTGAAAAAGTCCAGGTCATTCCACAACATCTAAGCATTTATTTCCTTGCAGACAGGCAGAGCAGAGGGACGGAACAAAAAACCATTTACAAAACACGCAGCAAGTGGAAAGATATGTACAGAAGGGGAGGGGGCTCAGCCTCGCGCCCCCTTCGGAGGGTCTGCCCCCAGCGAAAGCCAGTCTCTATGCAGCTTAAGAGAGCAAAGCCGTCTTGCGCGCAACCAGCAGACACACACACACACCCCGTCCCCAGTTTAAGGCGCAGGAGCAGACTGGCTCCAGCTGGCCCGTCCTTGGCAGGAGGAAGGGCCGCAACAGGACTCCTCGTCTGCCCCTCGCAGTCCAATTCGGCCGGTCCGGCTGCGGCTTCGTCTTCCGGCAGAAGAGCCAAGTCCCGTGGGCAGCCAGCCAGCCTGGGCGGAGATGGGGGGTGCCCCCCCTCAAGTCTTTCAGGCAGGTGGTCCATGGGGAAGCATCCGGCACCCGAGGCGGGGGGAGGTGGGGTCTGGGGTCCCTCTCCCGGGCCCTGCCGTTCACGCCGGGAAAAGGTGAAGTCTGTAAACATCTTTCCACTCTCAGTGGGGGCTAAGAGACCCCCGGGCCTCCATCACAGTTTGTCATAACACTCGGGAAGGAAGGGCCGCGACAGTGTCCGGGCCTCGCCTGCCTTTGGGGGGACGGCAGCCGCAGCGGGGAGGTAGATGGTGGCCAGAGTGGGCGGCCGAGCCGGCGGGGCCCTCCATGCGTGGGGCGCCAGGGAGGGCAAAGGCCAGGCTCCCGTTGCTGCCGCCGTCGATGTGGGCAGGTGTCCAGTCGAGGCTCCCAGACCTCATTCCCGGCTCCAGGGGTATCTCGCCGGCTGGCCTCAGTCCAGCTTCCCTGGTCTTCCTCGCCAAGTGGCCTCCTCCAGCGGACCCCCCCCCCCCGGTCTGCCCCTCCAAAGAAGTTTGTGGGTACAGTTTTAAGGCATCAGAAAAACACAAAAAGTTATCAGGAAGGTTTGGAACGAGCAAAAAAGAGTGGGGGAGCCCGTCACTTCTCCAGAAGCCTGGGGAGGGGAGAGGGGGGGCTGCAGCGAGGTTTTTTCCTCTGAGGAACTCCCAGGAAGAGCCCCCCCCCTTGAGAGGGATGAGCCGGAGAGCGCACGGACGGCTGCATAGCATTTGAATTTGCCTTCTTCACTTGCTGTAGCTGTTTCCAACTGGACATGCACAGGAGCTATTATTTGTTCTGGCGTACACCAAGCTCAAAATTAAAACACTCCTCCCACCCACCCCCACCCCCCCTGAAGCCCCCCCACAACCCTCCCAATGGTTGCGAAAAGGGACCGAGACAGACACATGTATACATTCATAGTCACATTCCAAAACTGGTTGCCCCCCCCCCCAAAAAAACGAATTTCAACAGAGGAAAAACAAAACATTGCTACAGGAAGGAAAAAAACTCTTACGCATTGTCTGAAAAAAAACTGGCAGCAGTAGTACTAATACTCAGACTGGCCCCGACTCGGACGCTGCTGGCTGTGGAGCATGGGATCCAAAAGTCAAGGGGTGTGTGTGTGTGTGTGTGAAAGCGGGGCCCCCTGTTCCAGCAGCCAGATAAGCTCCCCCTCCCCTTCCCACTGGACGGGGGCAGGAGCCCCCCCCCTTTTCCTCTCTTCTCCCCATCCTTGCAACTCCATCGCCAGCTTTTGCATGTGCTACAACAATTCTCGTTGAAACATTCCCTCCTTATTGCTAGATTTTTTTTTATATTAAAAAAAGCTATATAATACTGAAAACAAACTTCACGCTCGTCCCCCCCCTCCCCTATTATTTTTCCTTGAAAACTAGTAAGGCAGAATTGCACACACAAGTTTCCCATTTTTTGTTCGGTTCTCGCGGGAGAAAAATCCCGACGCGATTCATAAGAGGCTGAAAAAGAGAAGGACACACGAGAGGTTTCTATGACAAAAGGGGAAGGGACCCTCCCTCCCTCAAAACAACCATCTTCCAGAGCTGAAGAGGGGTACCCCCTTCCCAGGATAGGGACACACACACACACACACACACACACCCCACGAAAAACAATCAGCCTGTTTTGTAAACTTTTCCCGTACCTTGATTAACACAAACAAAAAAACAAAAGGTCTTAGGATTATTTCAATTCACATCCCTCCCCAATGTTTGGTGCAAAGAAAATAAACCGGGGGGGGGGGGAAGAAGGGGAAGACCCTCCCCAACCAATTTGCAAGCAAAGCCGGAGATAGAGAGGGGGGGCTCCAAGTCAGAGGCAGCTCCCAGCCCAAAGGCAGGCGGCGAAGCGATTTTGCGCATACATTCTGGCGTAGGTGCATCCCACAGATGCCCATGGCAAGCGGGCACCACGCTGGGCCCCCAGCGAGTGGCGGCAGGAAGGTGCCAAGCCCCAGCTCACCCCCCCCCGGTCGGAGGGGCAGACTGAGGACAGTGACCCCAAGGGTCTCAATACTGCAAAGGCCCCGGGTGGCCAGGGGCCAGCACTCCCCAGCAAGGCCGGCCTGCCCACTCCCGCAGAGACTCCACCGGCCAACGAGGAACCCTCCAAGCATCACAGTATTAGTTACAAAAATCACTGAATTCTCTTGCAGATGTGCATGCGCGCGCGCACACACAGACGCACACACGATCCATCAGTCCCGGTTTGGAGTCTTACCTGGCTTGGCATTAAGGCGGAAAACCCCAAACAGTCTTTCGGCATTTGGTCACAACCAGGCGGGGTTTCCCTCCTGCTGCAGTCAAAAGTGGGTTGATTCGGATGCCCCCCCTCTTCTCCCCTCGCCCCCCCTACTCAAAACGCACCGTGGGAAAGCGAGCGGCACCTGGCGCTCCAGAGTCCTCCGTGCTGCTGTGAGTTTGAGAGACGCGTTTCCGGGGGAGCAGATCCTGCCCCCCCACCCCTCTCTCACAAGATGCCACGGGTCACTTCCAGAAGCCTCTCCGTGTCCTCTCGCCTTTGCAAGGGGAAAAATCTTGGCAGGTAAGTGGGGGGGGGGTGGGACCGGAGGGGTGTCAACAAAAAAGGAGACCACGTGGCTGCAGGGCACAATCTGGTCCATCGTCAAGCCCTCGTAAGGCGCCGGGGTCGCCAGGCGGCGTACGCAACCCTCCATGTACTCCAAGTACCCTGTGTCCAGGCAGTTCCCCCCCCCCAGGAGTCAGGATGGATTGTAGGCGAAAAAAGGTCCTTGCAAGCAAACCAAAAATCAAGCAGGTGCTTGTGCGTGCGCGCACAAAAAAGTACATCGGGATGCAGCCCCCGGGTAACGGAGAATGTGCTATGAACGTCACATCTCTGGCCAGCTTGTTTCAAAAAACAGTCCCACACTCACACGTTAAGAGTTGTGTCCAGCACCACCACTGACAACTGGGGGGGGGAGGGAGGGAAGAAGGGAGGCCTGGAGCCAAAAGCGTCACCCAAGTAGGATACATTCAAATTTGGCTTTGGGTGCACCGATTCGCTCCGGTTGTCGATGCTACGGGCAGGGCACCCGCGGGACACCTTCGCAGGTCACACGATTCATGATTCTCATCCGTGCACGGAACGGGAAGGGGGCTGGAGAAACGTGGAGACTCACAACATTGGGTTTCTGCTTTCCTTTGCTAGAAAAAGTGCATCCACACATCGGCCGCTGGAGGAAAACTGCCCGCTGACCAGTGCAGGCAGGCAGGAGGCCGTGAGCATCTCCGTGGAAGGACAGACGGATGAGGAACTGACCACTGGGGGGAGGGAGGGAGGGGGCTCTGCGACGGGTCATCAGCTTGGAGAAGAAAGCAGTTTCTGGAGGAGCAACCTTCTTCAACAGTAGTGTATATTCCTCTTTTTGCAGTCTTTTTTTTTCTTTTTCTGTTTTTTTTTTTTTAAATCAAACACAATACAAAATTGTAATGTCCAGGGTGGGGTGGAGAAAAAGGAAATGAGGAGGGAGGCATTTTTTGTGCAATTTTCTTAAAAAAAAAAAAAATATTCAACAAAACCCCAAAAAACTTCTTATAAAATGGCCTCTTCGTAAGAGAAAAAATATACTGTGCGGATCAAGAGTCTGAAGAGTATTTACATCTGTTATCTATGCAAACAGTTTTAAAAAAAAAAAATCCTTTTTTCTAAGTGCATTTCTTCAAGTTTTTTTTTCTTTTATAAATCTTTTTATATCAAGCTTCTGTGAAATTACTGTTCACATTTTTTAAAACATATCCCCACGTGAAAAATAAGTGATTTTTTTAAAGATAAACTTTTTTGTAGTTTTTAAGCTTTTTTTAAAAAATAATATTTCACAATTTCAAAAAAAAAATTTTTTTTCCTTTTTTTTTCTCAATTTGTAACAAGTCACTGTAAAAAAACAACAAAAACAAAAGTTCCGATAAAGTGCATGGCAGAAAAAGGGGGTGTTGTTTAAGGTGCTTTTTTAAGGAATGAAGTGCGCAAACAGCCTTCCGGTCTGGCCTGACCCAGCTGATTGATGGTCCTCGCGCTCCCTCGCTGGGGGCCCATGTGGCCCCGGGGGCCCCCCAGCAGTGCACACTCAGCCGGAACTGAAATGGGTGAGATCAAGGCAGCAGCGGCAGGGAGGACAGGGGTCCCACGGCTGGAGGGAGGGAGGGGCTCAATAGTCCTCCACGGTTTCCAGCTCGCTGGAGGCGCCATGAAGAGCGTAGCCTGCAAGGAAGGAAGGGAAGCGTCTGCCACAACTCGCCACGCGACGACGCCGTGCGACGGAGTCACACCAACGTCGAAGAAACGGTGGGAGTCATTGGAGGAAGGGGGCCAAAGCCGGGACAAAACGGACAGGCGAACGACACAAATTGAAATGATTTTTTAACTATTTTAAATAGTTAAACTGAATGGCTGAATTGTCCCGCGGCCAGGAAATGCCGGTCCCACAGTGCCAGGCTGCCACCCCCTCCTCCCAACCAAGCGCCCCCCCCCCCAAAGTCCCCGGAAGTAGCTGCCTTCCTCCCCTTCCCCTCCCCTCCCCTCCGGGCTGGCTCACCCAGGATGCTGGGGTCTGCATGCAGCATCACCGGGCGCCTCTTGATCTTCACGGCTTGGCTGTTCTCGAAGGATGGCGGTTTGGGGCTGTGGTTGGCCTGGAAGAGCGACTGCAGGCTGCTGGAGCTGAGCCACGAGGCCTCCTGCAACGGGGGGGTTAAGGGGGGGAGCTGCAGTGTGGCGGGGCCTGGTGTCCTCGGACCGGTTGGGCGCCGGCCTCAGGGCCGAGGGGAGGGAGGGGAAGGCCCACACCCGGAGACCGACCAGCCAAGGGGGCAGGGATGGTGCCCTGCAGCGTTCGCCCAGCCCCACTTACAGCCCAGGAAAGCAGAAACCGATGGCTGCCAACGATGAAGTGTGGCTGTGCCCCTCCCCCTCGGCCTCACGCCCCGTACCTGCTGCTGCTGCCGCTGCTGATTGGCTCTCTGCTTGGCACGGCGCTCTAGGAACTGCTTTGCAAACTCTTTGGCTTCCAGGGTGTCTCCCAGGTAGGAGCGGATGCAGTCATGGACGTCGTAGGGCGACTCCATCTCCTTCAGGAAAGCTCCCACCGTGGGCACTGGGGGGGGGAGACACCCGGGGCAGCCACTGTTTACAGCGGCCACCTTTCTCGGGGAGGCAGACCGGCCCTGCCCAGGGGACACCCCCCCTAGCCCTAACCCGGCTGACCTACCAGCCAGCAGACCCCCGCCCATCCGAAAGGGCGCTCTGCTTGAGAAGACCCCTCCCCCAGACGCACCATCCAGGCTGCTGGAGGCGTTGAGGGCGTGCAGCATCTGTTCGCACCACTGGGTGAAGCCGTCCTGCGGAGGCTTGTGGATGCCCTGCAGCAGCTTCAGCAGCTTCTCCTCCTCGTCCGTTTTCTTCCTGCTCTGCCGGCTGGAGACCGAATACGCGTCCCTGGGCCCACCAGAGAGAGGGAGAGAATGTGTGAGAGAGAGGGAGAGAGAGAATGTGTGTGAGATGAGAGTGTGTGAGTGAGAGTGTGTGAGAGAGAGTGAGAGTGAGAGAGAATGAGAGAGAGAGAATGTGTGTGAGATGAGACTGTGTGAGTGAGAGGGAGAGAATGTGTGTGAGATGACAGAGTGTGTGAGTGAGTGAGAGGGAGAGAATGTGAGTGAGAGTGTGTGAGAGTGAGAGAGAGAGTGAGAGAGAATGTGTGTGAGATGAGAGTGTGTGAGTGAGAGTGTGTGAGAGAGAGTGAGAGTGAGAGAGAATGAGAGAGAGAGAGAATGTGTGTGAGATGAGACTGTGTGAGTGAGAGGGAGAGAATGTGTGTGAGATGACAGAGTGTGTGAGTGAGTGAGAGGGAGAGAATGTGAGAGTGAGAGAGAGAGAGAGAATGTGTGTGAGATGAGAGTGAGAGAGAATGTGTGTGAGTGTGAGAGAGTGAGAGAGTGAGAGAGAATGTGTGTGAGATGAGAGTGTGTGAGTGAGAGGGAGAGAATGTGTGTGAGTGTGTGTGACAGAGTGTGAGAGAGAGAGAGTGAGAGAATGTGTGTGAGATGACAGAGTGTGTGAGTGAGTGAGAGGGAGAGAATGTGTGAGTGAGAGTGTGTGAGAGAGTGAGAGTGAGAGTGAGAGTGAGAGAGAGAGAATGTGTGAGATGAGAGTATGTGAGTGAGAGGGAGAGAATGTGTGTGAGAGTGTGAGAAAAAGTGAGAGTGAGAGAGAGAATGTGTGTGAGATGACAGAGTGTGTGAGTGAGTGAGAGGGAGAGAATGTGTGAGTGTGTGAGAGAGTGAGAGTGAGAGAGAGAGAATGTGTGTGAGATGAAAGAGTGTGTGACTGGATATAAAAAAACTGGATATAAAAAAATATTATATAGCCTTTTCATAATCTTCATTTTTATATATATATATATATATATATATATATATATATATATATATATGTTTTAATGTTATATTTTCTTTTTTTATAAATATAATTTTTAATTGTTTTTTAATTAAGCCTATATTCTGCCCTGGAAAGCTCTGGGGGGGGGGAAGGGGGGATGTTTGGGTGGGGGGTGGGGAAAGGGGGTTTTGTTATGTAATGTTTAGTTTTTTTTGTATATGTTGTTTTTTGTCTTTGTATGGTTTTGTTCTTTTTGTAAAACTTATAAAACTTTTTAATAAAAAAAAAGAAAAGAAAAGAAAGAGTGTGTGAGTGAGTGAGAGGGAGAGAATGTGTGAGAGTGTGTGAGAGAGAGTGAGAGAGAGGATGTGTGTGAGATGAGTGTGTGTGAGTGAGAGAGGGAGAGAATGTGAGTGTGTGTGACAGACAGTGTGAGAGAGGGAGAGAATGTGTGTGAGATGACAGTGAGTGAGAGAGAGAGGGAGAGAATGTGTGTGAGTGTGTGTGTGAGAGAGAGAGAGAGAGTGAGAGAGAATGTGTGTGAGATGAGAGTGTGTGAGTGAGAAGGACAGAATGTGTGTGAGTGAGAGTGTGTGTGTAGAGAGTGAGTGTATGTGTGAGAGAGTGTGAGAATGTGAGAGAGAATGAGAGGGGGGAAAGAGTGAGTGTGTGTGTGTGAAAAGAGGGGGAGAGGGGGAGACAGAGGGGGGCCAACTCAGCCCCTTGGGCATCCCCCTACCCCTTTCCCGAGGGCGACTCACCCTAGCGAGGGACTGCTCCGGCTGTTCCTCAGGCCCAGGTTGCGGGCCAGGGGGCCGGGGCCCTTCATGCTCTCCTCCCAGAGGCCGAGTGGGCCGGCCTTGTCATGGCTGCCCCACAGCGAGCCCACGTCCGAAGCCCACTGAGAGGGGAGGCTGCTCAGACCGTGTCCGCCATGCTAGCAAGCAGAGCCGGGGAGAAAAGAGAAACGGGTCACCCGGAGCTTCTGCGGAGCACCAGCCGCCGTCCCTCCCGGCCATTTTTGCGACGGGGGGGGGGGGGAGAAAACCGGAGACAAAAAAGCCGAGGGGAACCCCAGCACCCCTAAAGCAGGAAGCCCAGCGGTAAACCTTCTCCCCCCCTCAAGACCCCCAGGCAGTGCTCCCTGCGCCCCCCCCCCAGTGTCTGAAAGGGTTCCTTGTCTTAAAGCACGGCCCCCTCCCAACACACCTCCCCTTTGTGAAGGGCAGGGGCTGGAACGTGCCCTCTTGACCTGGGGAGGGGGCTGCAAGCAGGAGCGGGGGGGGGGGGAGGACGAGAGCAACCAGGAGACTTGGGGCTATCCCCCCTCCTCAAAAGCCGGTCTGCTTCTCCAGAGGGCGGAGGGCACCGGAGGACACTCACCGCTCGCTGCTGGGCCCGGGCGGGCTGGGCCGGCTTCTGCAGGTGCCTCTCGCTCTCCTGCTGCAACTCCAGCAGGGCCTTCAGGGAGGGGCTCTGCTTGGCCAGGCCCCCCCAGAGGGGCTGCGTGCTCTGCTGCTGCTGCTGCTGCTGTTGGAGGAGCTTCAGCAGCATCTCCTGGTGGCGGAACTGGGAAGGGGGGGAGGGAGGGAGGAGGAGAGACAGGGGCAGGGCGATTGGCAGTTAGAGTGGCGCAGCAGTTAGGGTGCAAGTACTGCAGGCCACTTTAGCTGACTGTGTTCAGCAGGTCAGCGGTTCAAATCTCACCGGCTCAAGGTGGACTCAGCCTTCCATCCTTCCGGGGTAGGTAAAATGAGGACCCAGATTGTTGGGGGCAATGTAAAATATATATACATTGCTTACTGGTGTACACCACTTAGAGAGGGCTTGCACTTAAAGCGGTATATAAGTCTCATAAATAAATAAATCTGGCACTCGCCCTGACCCGTGCCCGAGGCCCCTGGGGTGGGGTGGGGTGGGGTGGGGGGAGGGCAGAGGGGGCCGGGCTCACCTCCTCTCGCAGCTCCCGGCAGGTCCGAGCGTCTCCCAGCTTCTGCAGGTCGGCCAGGCTGAAGCTGCTCTGCCCGGAGGAAGCGTTGACAGACTGCTGGCCCCACGAGGAAGAGGAGGGCAGCTGGAGGAGGGAGGGAGGAAGCCCACACTGCTCATGGCCAGGCAGACCGTCTGTCCCGGGCCCCAAGGAAGCCGAGGCGGGCCTCTTCCCGAGGGCTCTGCGCTGGTCTCGTGAGCTGGGTGGTTCTCTTGCAGACGTTTCATGAGCCAGCTAGGGAACGTCATCCGTGCGAGGAAGGAGTGGGGCTTGCTCAGAGAGCAGCAAAGATTCCCCCCCCCCCAGTTCTTTTCTCCTCCTCCTCCTCCTCCTCCTCCTCCTTTCTAGCCCTGATGGTGTTCCCTAGCTAGGTCATGAAACGTCTGCAAGGAAACCACCCAGCCCAGAGACCACCAAGGACCCCACAATCCATCCTTCCTTCCTTCCTTCCTTCCTTCCTTCCTTCCTTCCTTCCTTCCTTCCTTCCTTCCTTCCTTCCTTTTTCTTTCTTTCTTTCTTTCTTTCTTTCTTTCTTTCTTTCTTTCTTTCTTTCTTTCTTTCTTTCTTTCTTGTCCTCCTCCTCCTCCTTTCTAGCCCTGATGGTGTTCCCTAGCTGGGTCATGAAACGTCTGCAAGAAACAAACCAGCCTAGAGACCACCAAGGACCCCACAATCCATCCATCCTTCCATCCATCCTTCCTTCCTTCCTTCCTTCCTTCCTTCCTTCCTTCCTTCCTTCCTTCCTTCCTTCCTTCCTTCCTTCCTTTCTTTCTTTTTCTTTCTTTTCCTCCTCCTCCTCCTCCTCCTTTCTAGCCCTGATGGTGTTCCCTAGCTGGGTCATGAAACGTCTGCAAGAAACAAACCAGCCTAGACACCACCAAGGACCCCTCATTTGAACCCTTGAGCTGGAAATATTCTCCTTTACAGGTATCTTCCTCCGTTCTTCACCCCATTCGCTCCCCCTGGGCCAGAGTGGGCTGAGCCCGGCTGCCACCCCACGCACCCTTCCCTCCTCCTCCCCCCCCCCAGCCATGGGGCCGCCCGGCACTTGCCCTTGCCTGCTTGCGCCGGTAGAGCTCTTCCTCCTCGCGCCGCTTCCGTTCGTCCTCGTCCCGCTTAGCCCTGAGTTCGGCTCCTCGGCGCTCTTGCAGCTGAGGGGGAGGGGGACAGAGCGGGTCACGGGGGGCCCTCCTGGCCGCCCCCTTCCTAGAGCCACTCTTGGGGGGGGGTCAACTCACTTTATGTTGTAGTTGAAGTTGTTCTAAGATCGGACCCTGAGTTGAAGAATTAATTGGAATATCCCACAAACTGGCTTCACCGCCTGGAAGAGAAAACGAGGTTAAGCAGGAAGGGACCCCAGACTGGAAGAGAGAGAGAGAGAGAGAGAAACAGAAACAGAAAGAGAGAAAGAGGTGGGGGAAAGAAAAAAGAGAGATAAAGAGAGGAGAGAGAGAAGTGAAAGAGACAGAAAGGAAAGCGAGAAAGATAGAAAAACAGAAAAAGAGATAGAAAAAGAAAAAGAAAAAAGACAAAGAGAAAGAGAAAGCAAGAGAGAGAAAGAGACAGAAAGAGAGAAAGAGAAAGCAAGAAAGAGAAAGAGAAAGAAAAAGAGACAGGGAAAGCGAGAAAGATAGAAAGACAGAAAAAGAAAGGAAGAGAAAGAAAAAGAAAAAAGACAAAGAGAAAGAAAAAGCAAGAGAGAGAGAGAGAAAGAAAGAGACAGAAAGAGAAAAAGAGAAAGCAAGAAAGAGAAAGAGAAAGAAAAAAGACAAAGAGAAAGAGAAAGCAAGAGAGAGAAAGAGAGAGAAAGAAAGAGACAGAAAGAGAAAAAGAGAAAGCAAGAAAGAGAAAGAGAAAGAGAAAGAAAAAGAAAAAGAAAAAGAAAAAAGACAAAGAGAAAGCAAGAGACAGAAAGAAAGAGAAAGCAAGAAAGAAAGAAAAAGAGACAGGGAAAGCGAGAAAGATAGAAAGACAGAAAAAGAAAGAGAACGAAAGAGAAAAAGAAAAAAGACAGAGAGAGAGAGAGAGAGAGAGAGCGCACTTTCCTCCTGACCCCCACTTCCCTCTGCCCCCCCCTCTGGAATGGCTGCCCTTCAGGGTCCCGGCCTCTGCCACCCGCGAGCAGACGAGGACCCTCTCCAGAGGACCACAAAGCCCAGCAGCCTTCCTTTCCTCCACCTCCCTCCGGGTTCTGGCCCTGCCGGGCCAAGCAAGGGATTTCCAGATGGGGACTTTGCTCCGATGGGCTTTGGATTCCAGCCCTGGCCGTCCAGGGCCTTGATCCCGGGACACACACCCCCCCTCCCGGAGGTGCCCCCCGCCCGTCAGCGACCTGCTTGCGGTGAGGCTGAGGTATGTGTGTCCCAGAGGGACCCAGTGTCTGGCACAGATATGGATCGGTTCATGGAGGGGATCAGGCCTTGCTCCCCAGCTCTGCAAGAGAAGCAAGAAAGGGGGTGGGGGGGGGAGCTAAAGCCGCCCTGGCTCCCCAAATGAAACACCACCACCACCGCCTGCCCCTCAATTGCCAGCCACCCCCCCGGGCCTCGGCCGCTGCCCTGGGGAGGGGGCGCAGGGGGCTCACCTGGGCTTGAGCGCCTGCAGCTGCTGCAGGAAGGTGGTCAGCTGCTGCTGCTGGGCCAGATCCCCCGACGACGCCTTCTGCTGGAGGGCACACTGGGCGTATTGCCGGCTGCAAGACCAAGGCGGAGTAGCCAGGCGGGGGGGAGGCGGAGCCCCCTGGAAAGGCCCCGCTTGCTGCAGACGCCTCTGCTGCCCCTGGCCCAGCTGGGGCAGCCCTAGAGGGGGACGCCCTTCCCGTGGGGCGGGGGGAGGGGGGAAGGGGCACGGCCTACCTGTTGACGAGCTGAAGCAGCTGCTGGTGCTGGAGCTGCTGGTAGATGGCGGCCGCGGCCAGTTCCTGCTGCTTCTTCAGGCGCTCCTGGTCCATGTTCCCCTGGGGAGGCGAGGGTAGGGGAGGTCACCCACCCCCTGCACCAGGACAGGACCCTCCCCGCCCAGGGGGCCCCTTCCCACGCAAGCCAAGGGAGAGGGTGAAAGGAAGGGCAGGGGTCTTTAACGCCCCCTCCTCGGAGTCTGAGCAGATGTGGTGGGGGGGGGGGGAAGGATTGCTCTTAACGAAGGGGGCGTCAAGACCCACCCCAGAAGGGCCCCGAATGGCTTAAATGAAGAGCCACACGCTGCATCCACCAGGGGTGTCTAACCTTGCAACTTTTAAGACTTGTGGACTTCAACTCCCAGAATCCCCCAGGCGGCTCTTTTTACACTTTGCTGAAGTCAAGATATATTACGTTTACCACATTCCCACCGTCTATTAAGAAAATTGCAACTATCGCAAAATGCAACAAATAGTCTAACCCAGTGGTTCTCAACCTTTTTAATGCCGCGACCCCCAACCGGTCGTAAGCCGAGGGCTACTCAACTGGTGCAGCACCGTTTGCAGAATGGGACTTTTGGCGGGCTCAGCAGGGCAGAGACAGCCTGGACAATTCCTATTGGCTTTGGAAAGCCAATAGAATGAGACTCTATTCAAGAGAGTCTATTCTATTGGCTTTCAAAAGCCAATAGAATAAAAGGGAGGAGCACAGCTAAGGAAAAGGGGGGGGAAATGGCGGACTGCGTTGTTTGGCGACCCGCGTGAAATGGTCCTTCGACCCCAAATGGGGTCCCGACCCACAGGTTGAGAACCACTGGTCTAGCCAGATTTGCTCTGGCCATTATCCACGCTGAATCCTAGTCAACGCCGGCTGGCTGGGGAATTCTGGGAGTTAAAGGGGCCAAATTTGGAGACCCCTAATAGTATCTAGCAGACCACCGGGAATTGACATCCCTTGGATGTCCTGGTGTTGTTTTTTTTTTAAGGAACTTTACAGCGGGGGTGTCCAACCTTGGCTACTTTAACAAAACTTGTGGACTTCAACTCCCAGAATCCCCTATCCAGCTTTTTTTCACGTTGCTGAAGTCAAGATAGATTAAATTTACCGCATTCCCATCATCTACTAAGAAACTTACCCTTATCAAAAAAAAAATTGCAATAGTCTGGCCACCCTTGTTGAATTCTGGCAAACCTTTGATGGCTGGGGGATTCTGGGAGTTGAAGTCCACACGTTGTAAAGCTGCCCGGGCCCTGACCTAACGCTGTCAAATGAAGGACCTGGGAAAGCAGGCCAGGTGCCCAGCTGCTCCCGCCCGGCCCTCCCTCCCCCAGCCCAGGCTCACCAGTAACGGTGGGGGGGATGGACCGGGCGCGAAAGGCACTCTTCCCCACATCTTGATCACTTCTCCGAGGGGCTGGAAGCCCTCGTCGCAGCCCCGCTTCACCAAGAGCGACATGGTGAAGTAGCCCGCTTGGAACCATTCGGCCATCTCTTGGGTGGTGAAGGGTCCTGGTTGGGGGGGGGGAGAGAGAGAGAGAGAGAGAAAGGGCCCGTGAGAGTTAAGTCCGACCGACACCCACCCTTTCCAGCCCCCTGGGCTCGGGGAGCATGTGGGGCGCACCTTGGATCTCCCCCTGGGGGTCCTTGTAGAACCACTTCATGGCTGCTTCGTGGGAGAGGGGCAAGGCGGCCGCCGTGTTGCGGTGGTCGGCGATGTCCTGGCCGAAGTGCTCCTCCTCCAGCGAGCTGTCCTGCAGGGAGGCCACCATCTTCTCCGCTTCCTGGAGGCAGAAGGGGACGAGGGGCAAGGATTAGGAGGGCTCCCCGAGGCGGGACAGAGCGAGGACGAGGCTTGGGGGGGCGGAAGGCCAGGTCCCCCTTGGCTGTGGATGGGAACAGAGACTTTGCCCCCCCCCCCGGCCACCCGAGGCGGACCCGCCAGGCAAAGGCCCCCCCTCCTGGCCCGGGAAAGCAGGGAGGGCGCCCTCTGCTGGCAAACCCCTCTGCAACACACAAACACAGAGGGCAGGAGAGCCTCCTTACCTGCTGCAGGTGCTTCATCCCGTCTTCGTCCTCGTTGTCGCCCACTGTGAACTCGGCGGCAGGAGCAGCAGACGGGGCCGCGGGGAGGGGAGGGAGGACGGCCGGGCCGGGCTGGGCAGGGCAGCCGAGAGGGTCCCCTGGGCAGGTGCAGAGTAAGAACAAGGCGGCATCAAAACCCAGGGCTCCCGCTGCCCCTTCCCTCACCCCCCCTGCCCCCGGGCTCCAGGGACCCTTGCCCAGCCTAACGCCAGCTCCTCCCTCCTGTGGGCAGGCGAGGGGGCGCCCGCTCAGCCCTGCCTCCCCGCCCTTGCCAAGGCCACCCACCGTCTCCTGCCTCCGCCTCGCAGTTGCCGGAGGGCAGCAGCGCCAGCTTCTCGGCTTTGGAAGAGTTGCCCGGTCCGAGGCTTTCACAGTCGCTGGCAGCGCTGGGGGTGGCCAGAGGGCCGAAGGGGGGGCTGGGCTGCCAGGGGGTGCCCGGGGGAGCAGGCAGCTTCTTCTCCTCTGGGCCTGGCCGGGGGTCCTTTTGATCTGGAGAGGGAGGGGGAAGGTCTCCGTTTCCAAAGCCCGGGTTGCCGTGCCTGCCCTCCCCCCCTAGCCCTGTCCGCATGCCCTGCCCTCACCTCTCTCTGCCACGGCGGTGGGGCTGACGGGCAGCTCTCTGCTGGCCCTGGGGTTCCCCTTCTGGGCCTCGGGCAGCTGCTCCTCCTGCCCCTCCTCCTCTTCCTCCTCCTCTTCCTCCTGCTGCTCCTCCGGCAGCGGCTGGAAGCTCAGCTCCTGGTCCTCCAAATGCAGCTCCTTGGGGCCCTTCTGCAGAGGGGCGGCAAGGGGAGCCTCGCATAAGACCTTGGCACAACGGACCCTCTGCCCTGCCCCACCCGTATCTCTAAGCTAGCCAGCCCTAAGCTGCGTTCACACAACAGGCCAAGGCACAAGGAGTCGAAGCTTGCCCCGTGTGCGTCCAGGAGGAGAAGCACACATGCCGCGGGAGAGTTCCTGCCCCCGGAGGCTAAAACAGTGGCAGGGCTTGGCTAGTCTACAGGAAAGAAGGGCTAGCGGTACTCCAGCATTTGCGGGGCTGCCCCAAAGAGGGGGGGGGTCAACTTATTCTGCAAAGCACCAGAAGGCAAGAAAGGGATGGAAACTCATCAAGGAGAGAAGCAACCTAGAACTAAGGAGAAACTTCCTGACAGGGAGGACAATTAACCCGTGGGACGGCTCGCCACCGGAAGTTGTGGGTGCTCCATCACTGGGGGCTTTTAAGGAGAGGCTGGGCAGCCCACCTGTCTGAAATGGGATCTAGGGCAGGGGTCTTCAAACTTGGCCCTTTGAGAACGTGTGGACTTCAACTCCCAGAATTCCTCACCTGGCCATGCCTGTTTTTCCTCCTACTGCCTAGAGCAGTGTTTCTCAACCTTGACCATTTTAAGGCATGTGGACTTCAACTCCCAGAATTCCACAGCCAGCGTTGCTGGCTGTGGAATTCTGGGCGTTGAAGTCCACATGCCTTAAAATGGTCAAGGTTGAGAAACACTGGCCTAGAGCGTAGAGATTGCAGAGGAAGGGATTACCGGTGCAAGAGAGTAAACAGGCTGCCCTCCTTGACAGATTTGCAGTCGCTTCGGTTGTAGACCTAGGAACTGATAGGCTTTCCAGAGCAGAAAGCTCTGCAGCCTAATTTACGCGTGGGGGATCCCTCACCGTGCTCTGAAATTCCTGCATTTCTAGAGGAGGACCTCCTAACCCAGGGGTCTTCAAACTTGGCCCTTGCGTGCCTGGCTGAGGAATTCTGGGAGTTGAAGTCCACCAGTCATCAAAGGGCCAAGTTTGAAGACCCCTAGTAAAAAAAAAAAAAAACCATGCATTTCTGGACATCCTAACACAGTGGTGGCGAACCTATGGCACGTGTGCCAGAGGCGGCACTTGGAGCCCTCTGTGGGCACGCGCGCCATCGCCCCAGCCCTGCCTCCCCCCACGGCCCCCTTCTCCCCAGCAGCCCCCCTGGAGGAGAACTGCCCCCGGGCGCGGCCTGCACGGAGCAGTGCAGAAAAGGACATAGCCGGCAAGCAGGGACAAGACTCCGCCCTCACCCCCCATAGCGTGCAGATGATGCTGCAGGGTGTGGGCAGAGGGCGTGACTACCACGGCGCTGCAGGGCTGCCTGGGTGATCTGCTACGGCCCTGTGGGTGGGTGGAGCAGGGGGCAGGCGGGGGTGGAACGGGACGGGGGCAGGTTTTGGGCACTCAGTCTCTAAAACAGTGGTTCTCTACCTGTGGGTTGGGACCCCATTTGGGGTCGAACGACCATTTCACGGGGGTCGCCAAACAACGCAGTCCGCCATTTTTTCCCCCCTTTTCCTTAGCTGTGCTACTCCCTTTTATTCTATTGGCTTTTGAAAGCCAATCGAATAGACTCTCTTGAATAGAGTCTAATTCTATTGGCTTTCCAAAGCCAATAGGAATTGTCCAGGCGGTCTCTGCCCTGCTGAGCCCGCCAAAAGTCCCATTCTGCAAACGGGGCTGCACCAGCTGAGTAGTCCTCGACTTACGACCGGTTGAGTAGTCCTCGACTTACGACCAGGTTGGGGGGTCGCGGCATTAAAAAGGTTGAGAACCACTGCTCTAAAAGGTTCACCATCCCTGTCCTAACAGGTCCAGTCAAGTCCTAAAAGGGCCAGGTTTGGAGAGCCCTGGTCTAGGGTCTCCTGCTTCAGCAGGGGGTTGGACTGGAGGACCTCCATGGTCCCTTCTAGCTCTCTTCTGATTGACTTGAGTTTTCCTCGGCACCGGCAAAGCTCTGGGTGCTGCCCAGTCAGCGCCTGCAAGCCAGGGGGAGGCGCGATGCAGAGGCCTCCCTTTTCAGGGGGGGCTGCAGAGACCGGGAGCGGGGATGGGGGGGGAGCGCCCACCTTGAGGGACATGAAGGCCCCCGAGGAGTCAAAGGTCCCCATCTCCTCCGTCTCGTCCTCCAGGCACCACTCGGGCAGGCCGTCCTTCTCCTCCTCAAAGCTCTCGCTGCTCTGCCGGTGGCGGCGCCCTCCGCCGCGCGCCGGCGCCTCCTCGTCCCGCTCCCGGAAGTCGAAATCAAACTTCCGCCGGCGCCCGTCCCCGCCGTGCTCCCGCCAGCCGGCCGAGCGGGGGCCCCCATCTGAGGGGAAGGCAATGAGAGGTCGAGGCTGCGGGCGGTCCTCGGCGTACGGCCACAATCCAGCCCGACGTTTCTCCTGCTAAGCGAGGCAGCCGTCTTGCCCCGTTTTGGGATGCTTCCCAACGAAGCGCTGCGGCCGTTTGGTTAGCAAGGTGGTTACCTGAATCGCAGCCCCCCCCCCAACTGACTCTGCTTGTCAGACGGTGACTCCCCCGGGACGCTGCGACCGTCATCAATATGAACCATCTGAATTTTGGCCGTGTGACCCCACGGGAAGTTGCAGAGTGAAAAACGGTCATAAATCACCGTTTCTGGTGCCGTTGTAAGTCCGAACGGCCGCTAAACGAACCGGACGGCCTGTATTTGCCAGAGGGTCCCCCTCCCCACACCCTCCCTCTAGAGCCAGGCCCTTGCGCAGCTCACCTGGGCTGGCCGACCGCCAGCGCTCGCTTTCTCGCCGGGACGCCCCGCTCTGCCGCCAGCTTCCTCCCGACCCGGCCCCCGCAGTGCCAGCGCCGCCGCTGCCACCAGCGCCCTCTTCCTCCTCCTCGTGCTCCTCGCGCAGCGTGCGCCAGTTGTCGCTATCCGAGCGGGCGAAGTCTTTGCGGGCAGAGGGAGCCGCCTCCTCAAACGGGGCCCGGGCTGGGAAACACAGCAGCCGTCACCCCACCCTTTGCAGGGACAGCTGCCCCCCACTCTGCCCCAGCGGGACCCCCTCTCTGCGGCCTGCTGGGAGGACGGGGGTGCCTACAAGCATTTGGGGAGGGGGGGTCCCCTCTGCCCCACACGTACCTCCTTCCCGCCGGATGGGCTTCTCGAAACGCCGATCCCCTCTGCAGGAAAAGGAGGGGGGTCAGGGTGGAGAACAGGCAGGCCGGCCCCACCAAGTCAGCTCCCCCTGCCCCCTGCTACGCACCGGTCATCCCAACTCTGGCTGCGGTGGATTTCGCGGAGGCCGCCCCGGCCAAAGGCACCGCCGTCCGTCTCCTCGATGCTTCTTTGGTAAAAGCCGCTCTCGCCTCGCCCGCGGCCTGCTTGTTTTGGGGAGGGGGTGGGACAGGAAAGACGTCACTGCAGCCGCCCGCTGCCCCTGGCGGAAAGAGAGCCGAGACCACAAGCCCTCGGGGTCTGCCGCCCCCTCCCCCAAAGTCTCCTTACCTCGGCTCCGCGTGCTGCCTCTCCCGCGGGAGACCCCTGCCGGGGCCACCCCGGCCCCCTTCCCCATCAGCCTCAGCACGGCCACGCTGTTCACCGACCTGGAGAAGTTCCTCTGGAGGAGCCCAAAGGGGAAAGGGGTGAGAGAGCGCGGGGCGAGGCCATTGCGTCCTCCCGGCCAGCTGGTCGGCTGACCCCAGACCCCTCACCTGTTCTTCTTCCGTTAAGGGCACCAGGGCCAGGGGCTGCAGGGGGTCCTCCTCCAGGATGGCCGAAAACTCCCTGTCTTGCATTTCGTCAGGGACCTGCCCAGGGGGGGGGGGGAGAAGAACAGTGACCCCTTGCGTGACCCAGAGCAGAGGTCTGCGAACTTGGCAACTTGACGACGGGTGGACTTCAACTCCCTGAGGGCTGGCTGAGGAATTCTGGGAGTTGAAGTCCACACCCGTCGTCAAGTTGCCAAGTTCGCAGACCCGACCCAGAGGACAGGAGCGCTGAGCAGCAGGTGCCTCTGGGCCCGCCCGGGGACAGTGTATGTGTGTGCTTGAGTGTGTTGTCGTCTCTCCGGCACCCAGGCTCCCCGAGGCCAGCCCAGCCCGGTCCCCGAGCCCCTCCGGCTGGCTGCCCAGGTGTCCCGGCTCACCTTATTGTCTTTGACGTAAAGTGCTAGCATCTCTTCCCGGCCATATCGGTACTCGGCTAGTTTATACTTTGGCATGGCGGGGGAGGAGGGCGGGGAAGCCACGCTCCCCCCACTGGAGAGTGCCCGAAGCCTGGGGGAGGAGAAGGCCGAGGTGAGGCCAGAGGAGACGAGGAGGAGGGGGAGGTGGCCCACCCTGGGGTCTGGCAGCCTGCCTGCTGGGGGAAACCTGGCACAGAGGGAGGTCAAGAAGGGTTAGGGGCAGGCTGGGGGATTAGGGGGGCAGGCAGCCAGAGAAGGGCTCCTTCTGGGACTTGGGGCTCCTGGCCAGGTAGCGGAGAGGAAAAGAGAGAGGGGGGGGCTGGATCCCTCTCCCCCTCCCCATCCCCAGACATCCTAAAACAGTGTTTCTCAACCTTGACAACTTGAAGAGGTATGGACTTCAAGTCCCAGAATTCTGGGAGTTGAAGTCCATACCTCTTCAAGTTGCCAAGGTTGAGAAACATCATCCTAAAATGAAGGAATCTACGTGCCCCAGGATCCTGTTGCGGGATCCACTCTGGACCGGAAGCTCTGTCTTCCAAGCTTTCGGACCCCTGCTGGCGCCCATCCTGGGGGACTTTTCCCCTAAGAGTCCGAAAGCTTGGAGGAATAAAACTTTGGCCCTGGGGACCGACTCCCACTGGATCAGTGTTCCTCAACCTTGACCATTTTAAGGCATGTGGACTTCAACTCCCAGAATTCCACAGCCAGCATTGCTGGCTGTGGAATTCTGGGAGTTGAAGTCCACATGCCTTAAAATGGTCAAGGTTGAGAAACACTGCACTGGATCCTGCACAGAGGAGACCGTTGGCACCGCCCAGAGAAGTCTTAAGTGGCCGTTCCAGGACGCCGGCCCCCTGCCCTCTTACTGCAGATCTGGCCCTTCCCTGCCCCACTCACCATTCCGGCCCGAAGGTCAGCATCTCGGCGGCCATCCTCCCGTTCTGGGGCTGCTCTCCGGCCGTCTGCAACCGCCTCCGCTCTCTTCCTCAACGCCCTGGGAGACCCCCAAGCGCCGAAGGTGGCCCGAGGAACGGCGCAGCTCTTCAACTGGAAGGCAGAGGCGGCTACTGCTGTGCCCCGTTTCTCCAGGGACCCCAGAGGGAAAGGGGGGGCAGCCCGGGTGGGAGGGGACGATGGCACAGAGCCCACGGGTCAGTTCGTGTCAATGCCGCTCTCGGGGAGGGGTGTCCTCCTAATGTACCTTAAACACCGGCTGTCAATCTCTCCCTCTGGCTGGAAAGCCCCAAGGACCTGCAAAAGAGGAAAGGGCACCAACGGGTAATGCCTTCAGGTTGATGCCAACCTGGAGCTGCCAGATAGGGGGGCTGGGTGACTGGGGGGGGGGGGCTGAGCAAAACAAGGTTTGCCTGCTGCCCCTCCTTGCCCCAGCCCCAGCCTGCAGGTGCCCTCTGGGGCCAATAGGAGAGGCAGGCGCCCGTCAGCCGCCCGCAGGTTCATCTTTTTTTCAGGCAAGGGATAGGCGGTATAGGCAACGGCCCCGAGGCCAGGGTGGCACCGGGAGTATCACCAGAGCCACACCTTGCTGATAACTCTTTTACGATCCTTTTTTATTTCCAGGGCTATTTTTAACCAAACGTGTAACTTATCTCAAGGAAAAAAAAAAGCAAGGTAAAAGGTAACTGGGGTTCATCGTAGGGGCGGGGAGGGCCGCCTTACAGCCTGGCTTCAGGGCCGGCCTCCACCCTCCACGGCTTCTCGGTGTGGGTGGTCCTCAAGTTATAGCAGTCCATTTAGTGTCCATTTAGTGACCGTTCGAAGTCCCAGGGGACTGGAACAAATGACCTGGGACCCCGTTTTTCACACTTAGCAACCGCCGCAACAGCCCCAGGGCCACCTGATCAAAATTAAGACGCTTGGCAATGGACTCGTATTTACGACGGTCTCGGCGTCCGAGGGGAGGGTCACGCGGTCCCCTTTGGCGGCCTTCCGGCAATCAAAGTCGACGGGGGAAGCTGGTTTCAGTTAACAACCGTGTGACTGACTTATCAACTGCGGTGAGCCACTTAACAACAGTGGCAAGGTCGTAAAATGGGGCAAAATTTATTGAACGACCGCTTCACTTAACAAGAAGACGTTTTGGGCTCAACTGAGGTCCGCCTGTCTTTCAATGCCCCAAACTAGCTTCCTGGGGTCTTTCGGATCGCTGGGTGGCCCCCCCTGCAGGTCAGGTGGAGGGGGAAGGACCAAACCCCAGGAGAGAAGCCGCTTCTGGGTGGAAATGACCGCTGCCATCTCAGGCCCGCCCTGACCCAGAGCTGGCCACTCACCTGACGGATCCCGTGCGCCGGTGCTGCCCCTTGGCAGGACGAGGGCAAGCTGGCAGGAGGAGCAAATGGGGAAGGGAGGGAGGGAGGGAGGAAGGGAGGGAAGGAGGGAGGGTCAGCCTCCTCCTCCCTGAGCAGGCACAATCCCACCGATGCGGCTTCCGGAGCCTGGGGTAGCCGGAGGAGAAAGTGGTTTGGCTTGGGGCCCCCCAAGGATGAAGCCCAGTGGCTCCACTCCCGTCCGAGGAACACTCTGGAAAAGAGGAGAGGGCCGAGTTAAAATGGCCGGCGGACTCCGTCCTGCAGGACCTCAGCGGGGGGAGCCCCCGGGGTGGCCGGCGAGAGTGGAAGGAGACCCCCACTGCCCCGTCTCTCCAGAAAGTGGCCGAAGGAGGACCCGGTTAGCACACGAGACGGTAAATGGCCGCTACCCCGGAATATGACATTCCACATCTCTCTGGCGCCAGCTTTTCCATCCAAGAGAGGCAGGCTGGTCCAGGGGTTAAGGCCCCAGCTAGAAAGCGGGAGGCGGCGAGTTCGAGTTCCGCCTTGGGCACAAAAGGAAGGCGGGAGCAAGGCCACCACTTGCAAAACCTTGAGCCACAGGTGCACCTGGAGAACAGAAGCCTCCCGACAGCGGGAACAACTAGTCAGCGGAAGGACTTGCCCCATCGCTAGGGAGATTTGTAAGAAGAGACTGGACCGCCGTTTGTCTGAAACGTTACAGAGTTCGCTGCCTGAGCAGGGGGTTGGACTAGAAGACCTCCGAGGTCCCTTCCGACTCTGTTATTCGGAGCCGTGGCGGTGCAGGGGTCAGAAGGCGGCGTTGCAGGCTGACTCTGCTCACTGCCGGCAGTTCGATCCGGGCTGGGCTCAAGGATCGACGCCGCGGCCTGCCGTCCTTCCGAGGTCGGTAAATGGAGGACCCAGAGTGTGGGGGGGGGGGCAAATAATGCCGACTCTGTCAGCGGCTGAGAGAGAGCTGTGATGCAGCATCTGTCTATGGCAGTGATGGCGAATCTTTTAGAGACCGAGTGCCCCCAAACCGCCCCGCCCCACTTGACCCCTCTCCACCCCTGCTCCGTCCCACCCGCCCTCAGAGCCACCCACCGCCTCCACGGCCCATCGCAGATCACCCCGGCAGCCCAGAAGCGCCATGGCAGCCACGCCCTCCACCCGCACACTGCAGCATCAACTGCGCGCGATGGGGCGCAAGGGTGGAGACCCCGCTGCCCGGCTGCCATGTCTTGCCCGTGCTTCTTCGTGCGGGCCATGCTCAGGGGCAACTCTCCTCTGGGGGGGGGCTGCTGGTGAGGAGGGGGCCATGGGGGGAGGCGGGGCTGGGGCGACAGCATGCATGCCCACAAAGGCACGCATGCCCACAACATTTTTTTTTTTTTTGCACACGGCGGCGGAGGCCTAAAGTGAAAAGGTTTTATAAAACCCAACTGAAGGCCTAGGACTGGGACGACGATGTGCATGCCCACAAAGAGAGCTCTGAGTGCCGTCTCTGGCACTCGTGCCATAGGTTCGCCACCACTGTTCTGTTCACTGGGATGATGTGCCGGGAGCCCCAGAGAAATTTTAAATCTCACAAAAGAGCACCTCAGCCAGCTCCTCATAGCCAAAAGGGGAACCGGTCACCAGGCAGGGCAACAGGACTTTAGAGGCCTGGAGGGCTTGCCACGAAGGTCAGTCCTGCCCCCTCATTTCAAAAGCAAGAAGTTGGGCAACTTCCTTTGCAGGCTTCCGAGTTTCCTCCTGGAGCTCATAAGAACCAGGAGCCGGAGGTCCCAACTGCCACCATCTTCTCCTCCCAACCCACAGCGGTAACTTCCCGCCTGCTCTAACCATTCTGCGTCCGCTGCCAGAGAAGCCTCGGCTCCTCTAGGACTTGGAAAAGCAGGAAGAACGTCCTGTTGCCCAGCAGGCCAACTGCAGCGGTTCTGGTGGCTACAAAGATCTGGACTCCTGGACAAGGGGAGCGTCCCAGAACACTGGCAGAACGGCCAAGATAACGAGGGAAGCCTTCAGCAAAAGAGGCTTGTTCAGTGGTGGTGAACCTACGGCACGGGTGCCAGAGGCGGCACTCAGAGCCCTCTCTGTGGGCATGCGCGTCGTCACCCCAGTCCTAGGCCTTCAGCTGGGTTTTATAAAACCTTTTCGCTTTAGGCCTCCGCCGCCATGTGCAAAAAAAAAAAAAAAGTTCAATCAATCAGTCAATTTCAACTTCTCGCGGGGAAAAAAAAGTTCTTGCAAAGTTGGAATTGATTGAAGTTTTTAGTCCCACCCAGTCTGCCATTACCACTGCAGCCACGCCCACCCAATGGGCCACACCCACCCAATGGGCCACACCCATCCGGCACCCAACGATGCATAAGTGGGTTTTGGGTTGCAGTTTGGACACTCGGTCTCTACAAGGTTCTCCATCACTGGGCTAGTTGTTGTTAGTTGCGAAGTCGACCCAAGGACAACGTTCCTCCAGGCCTTCCTGTCCTCTACCATCTTCTGGAGCCCCTTGAAGCTCACACCTCCTGCTTCAGGGACTCCCTCCAGCCACCTCCTTCTCCGTCATCCCCTTCTTCTCTTGCCCTCCATCTTTCCCAGCATCAGGCTCTTCTCCAGGGAGTCCTTCCTTCTCATTAGGTGGCCAAAGAGGCTAGCGCCATACTTTATTCTGAGTGAAGATACTCTAGAACAGAAGTCCCCAGCCCCTGGTCTGTGGATCTGCACCGGTCCGTAGCATGCCAGCAACTGATCCGCGCAAACAAGCAAAGGCCCCATCCATGGGATGTAGGCAGCACACGAAACCACGCACCCTCCGGTCTGCAGAAAAATCTCTCTCCATGAAACCCATCCCTGGTGCTCAAAAGGTTGGGGATCTCTACTCCAGAACAGTATTATTACTCAACCACGGCAGTTTTAAGACTTGGGGACTTTGATTCCCAGAATTCCCCCAGCCAGCTTGTTAAGGAGTATCTTCCGTTTTCTACCACCCTGAATGCAGCTGTGGTGATCTAGCCCCTATTTTACCATTTTATGGAGAAGTCTATCCGGAGACAATCTGTCAAAGCCTTTGCTGAGGTCCAGGACGTTCCTCCAATCTACTAAACGAGTAATTCACTTTTTTTTTTCAAAGGTTCAGCTCAGGGGTCTTCAAACTTGGCCCTTTGATGACTTGTGGACTTCAACTCCCAGAATTCCTCAGCCAGGCACACGTGCCTGGCTGAGGAATTCTGGGAGTTGAAGTCCACAAGTCATCAAAGGGCCAAGTTTGAAGACCCCTGGTTTAGCTAGTAAAAAAAAAAAAGCATGCATTTCTGGAGTAGGACATCCTAACAGGTCCAGTCTGTGCAGTCTGTCCGACCTTGGCAACTTTTAAAACTTGTGGACTTCAACTCCCAGAATTCCGGGAGCTGAAGTCTCCATGTCTGAAAGCTGCCAACGTTGAGAAACGCTGCTTTAGAAAGGACCCATCTGACTGGCAGCTGTGGGTTAAAAACAACTTCAGATGGGCCCGTCAGAAAGTCACACGTGGTTTTGTTGGGAAGCGATAAGCCAGGAAATTCTCTTTATCGGATCAGTAAACTCGCAATATAAGCAGGCAGGAAGCTGTTTGCTTTTTTTTTTTTTTAATCAGAAGTTAAGGTATTGGGTGGCCTAACAATACAAGAGAAAGCCAAACAAGTTTAGATTATTCTGGGATTAATCAGAAGCTATAGCTGTGGGTTGCAATTTTGAAATGGGGGTCTTCAAACTTGGCCCTTTGATGACCTGTGGACTTCAACTCCCAGAATTCCTCAGCCAGGCACCCACGCCTTGGGAGTTGAAGACCACAAGTCATAAAAGGACCAAGTTCTGGTGCTTGTCACATCTACAAAATGTGGGGATGTGGGGATAATTCATACAGAGCAAATGTTAACCCCCAAGGCTGGAACGCAAATTAGTGTCTACACAGCAGAGCTTGTAAGTTGTTGGGGGGGGGGGAAGCGCAGCCCGTGAAATACACTTTGACTTACAAAGAGTGCTTGAAGGAACATGGTGTGTCTAGCCTAAAGCAGTGAAGGCTGAGTGGAGACGTGACATATCCGAGGGACTGTCCCAGAGAAGCAGGTCTCCCAGTTAGGTCCTTCTGCATGGCTGGCTGGGGAATTCTGGGAGTTGAAGTCCACAAGCCTTAAAGTGGCTAAGGTTGGACAACCCCTGCTCTAGGACACAAACTGGACCTGTTAGGACAGGGGTCTTCAAACCTGGCCCTTTGATGACTTGTGGACTTCAACTCCCAGAATTCCCCAGCAGAAGAGCCTCACTGGGAGATTTGTACTTTCAGACTTGCAATAGTCTGCATATAACTTTTCCACAAAGTAGAATTAGCTGATCTGGTCGTACTTCCTGTCTGGACTACCTGGGAAGGCTGACGCTCTCTACCCCAGGGGTCTTCCAACTTGGCCCTTTGATGACTTGTGGACTTCAGCTCCCAGAATTCCTCAGCCAGGCACACGTGCCTGGCTGAGGAATTCTGGGAGTTGAAGTCCATAAGTCATCAAAGGGCCAAGTTTGAAGACCCCTGGGTTAGGAGGTCCTACTCTAGAAATGCACTATGAAGAATGCCCCGGGAGCAAATGGTTTGCAAATGGTTTGTATAGTAGGCAACAGAGCCTTCTGCTCTGGAAAACCTATCAGCTCCTAGGTCTACAACCGAAGCGACTGTAAATCTGTCAAGGAGGGCAGCCTCCTCCAATTTCACTTTCTCTCAACCTTAAACCCTGAGAAAAAATTCAGGACCGTCAGCATCTCGATGAGTTGAAGTCCACAGGCCATAAAGGGGCCACTGTTGCCCAGCCCAGCATCTCACCTACAAGTTTAATAAATAATACTCGGTGTTATGTCTGAAAGTCCTTCTGGCCAGCTCGGAGCATGCTCCCTTCTGGGGCCCACTCTTAGCCATCCTAGTTGCCCTTCTTCCCATTGCTTCTCACTGGCGTGGTTCTTCAATTCTGAAAAAACCGATTTAACTGACTGAACTTTAAAAAAAATAACGCATAACCTGCATGTTTTTAGTCCCTCCTGGTTCAAGCCACCTTTGTGGATTGAGCACCGAAGCACATCAACCCGAGAGTCAAAAAGAAACAGCGTTCTCCTATAGCAGTGGTTCTCAACCTGTGGGTCGGGACCCCATTTGGGGCCGAAGGACCATTTACGGGGGTCGCCAAACAACGCAGTCCGCCATTTTTTTCCCCCTTTTCCTTAGCTGTGCTACTCCCTTTTATTCTATTGGCTTTTGAAAGCCAATAGAAGAGACTCTCTTGAATAGACTCTAATTCTATTGGCTTTCAAAAGCCAACAGGAATTGTCCAGGCTGTCTCTGCCCTGCTGAGCCTGCCCAAAGTCCCCTTCTGCAAATGGTGCTGCACCAGTTGAGTAGTCCTCGACTTACGACCGGTTGAGCAGTCCTCGACTTACGACCGGTTGGGGGTCGCGGCATTAAAAAGGTTGAGAACCACTGTCCTATAGCCTTCTTCTCCCTGCCAGAACCCTTGGTGAAATTGAGAAAGAAAATTAAACTTCTTTCCTTCAATGCCGGCCACCCCATTTCAGGTAACTGGGGCCAAAGCACCTTCGGATCAGGAGAATTCCTGCTCAGTTCCTCCTTACGACAGGTGACCCACACCTTCAACACAAGTCCACATATCCACAACCACTGAGGTGCCACTTGCCACTTTTATAATTGTGGAAGACATGCAGGGTCATCACGGCCCAAACACCAAAGAATTAGGCTATACCTGGATTCAATTAAAAACTGGAGTCAGGTTGTCATAGCCTCCTAACAGTTACACGCCCACAACGTTCTGCAAATCAAATGTCTGCAAAGATTCTCAGTCCTCCAGATCAGAGTTGTATCAAAAGTGGTTTTTGTTTTAGAAAAGGCAA